TAAAATAAAATAAATAAGTAAATACATCTAAACTAAACTTAAATACATCTAAACTAAATTTAAATAAATTAATCTAATCTAAACTAAAATAAATGAATACATCTAAATTAAACTTAAATACATCTAAATTAAACTTAAATACATCTAAACTAAATTTAAATAAATTAATCTAATCTAAACTAAAATAAATAAATACATCTAAATTAAACTTAAATACATCTAAATTAAACTTAAATACATCTAAACTAAATTTATATACATTTAAACTTAAATAAATAAATAAATAAATACATCTAAACTAAACTAAAATAAATTAATCTAATCTAAACTAAAATAAATAAATGCATCTAAATTAAACTTAAATAATCTAAACTAAACTTAAATACATTTAAACTTAAATAAATAAATACATCTAAACGGAACTTAAATAAATAAATCTAATCTAAACTTAAATAAATAAATACATCTAAACTAAACTTAAATACATCTAAACTAAACTTAAATACATCTAAACTTAGATAAATAAATCCATCTAAACTGAACTTAAATAAATTAATCTAATCTAAACTTAAATAAATAAATAAATCCATCTAAACTAAACTTAAATCCATCTAAACTAAACTTAAATACCTCTAAACTTAAATAAATAAATACATCTAAACTAAACTTACATCAAAGCTAAACTAAACTTAAATACATCCAAACTAAACTTAGTTAAATAAATAAATCCATCTAAACTAAATTAAACTAAATCCATCTAAACTAAATAAATAAATCTATAAACTAAACTAATAAATAAATGTGAACTAAACTTAATTAAATAAATTAAACTAAACGGAACTTAAATAAATGAATACATCTATCAGATAGATAGATGGATGGATGGATTGATGGATGGATTGATGAAATGATGGATTGATTGATTGATTTCTCTTTTCCTCCGTTCTTAATCTGGATTGTAGGGTGGAGGTAAACCGAAGGCTTTCCTGCCAGCTTTTTGGAGGTCTCTTTGCGAACGGTGTCCATCTGTTGGGTGCTGATTCTGTTTTGCTTCCTCAGTGTGCGGTGCGGGCCGCGACGGAAGGCCGGATCTTGGTCCTGGAAGGCTTGGAGAAGGCGGAGCGCAACGTCCTGCCGGTTTTGAACAATTTGCTGGAGAACCGGGAGATGCAGCTGGAGGACGGCCGTTTCCTCATGTCGGCCGAACGTTACGATAAACTCCTGAAGGTAAGCAGGAGCCTCTGGCTTTTCTTCAAGGTTGACAGCCAAGAATGTGGCAGGGACTTCGCGGAGCTGCACAAACCTTGCCAAGGAATGCATAACCTTCAGAAAGTTTATTTTATACGCAGGTTGTCATTTAGCCAGGCCTTACAGCTGGATTGCTTTTAACCCCAGTGGCCTCTCTCTCGCTTTCCATCTGTTTCCCTGAATGCCAGCGCCACATGCACCTTTGGCAGGCATTGATGTACACCGAGAAAGGAGACTGTAGCTCAGGGTTGAAACGTGGGGTCCTCAGTGCTCCCTGAACCTGGGAGTTTTTTTGCCGACGTTTCATGACCTAACTCCCCGTATTTTCCGGAGTATAAGGCGCACCAAGATTTTGAAGAGGTAAAAATTTTTTACAAAATTTTTTTTTACACTCTGCAGGCCTCCCAAACCCTCTGCACCAGTGGTGGGTTTCAAAAAATTTTGGGAACCTCTTCTGTAGGGGTGGCCTGCTTTCCGGGTCCACTAGTGGAACCTCTTCTAACCGGTTCAGTAAATTTGACGAACCGGTTCTACCGAATAGGTGCGAACTGGTAGGAACCCACCTCTGCTCTGCATGCTTCATTTTTTTGTGAGAAGTGCTCCTGGGGGCTGGGAGGGGGAGCCAAAAATGGGCAGAAAATGGCCCATTTTTCATGAAAACAAGCAAGTTTTTCCTAAAAAAACAGGGCATGCATAGGCTTTGGGAGGCTTGTAGAGTGCTGCGGGGGGCAAAAACGGGCAAAAAATGGCCCATTTTTCATCTGCCTCACTGATGTCTGACTCTGAAGGCAGCTAACCACTGTCGGACGGCCCTGACCCCCTCTCTGTCTCGGATGCAGAGCCCTCCTCAGAGCCTTCCCCAGACTCCAGGACTGGCCCAGGTTCCTCCCCAACCTCCTCACTGTCCGACTCTGCTGCCAGCTTTGCTGGCCGCTGATGGGCCACAACACCATCTGAGCTCAGTTGTTTTCTTGAAGACGTTTCATTACCCAACTAGGTAACATCATGACTACTAGTAGGGTGCAGGGATTGCCGAGATGGAGAGGAGGAGGAGGAGGAGGCAGTGGCTTATGGGGTCCTTGGTACCCTCTGAACTCAGTTGTTTTCTTGAAGACGTTTCATTACCCAACTAGGTAACATCATGACTACTAGTAGGGTGCAGGGATTGCCGAGATGGAGAGGAGGAGGAGGAGGAGGCAGTGGCTTATGGGGTCCTTGGTACCCTCTGAACTCAGTTGTTTTCTTGCAGACATTTCATTACCCAACTAGGTAACATCATCATTACTAGAAGGCTGTGGGATTTGCCAAGGAGGAGGAGGAGGAGGCAGTGGCTTATGGGGTCCTTGGTACCCTCTGAAATCAGTTGTTTTCTTGCAGACGTTTCATTACCCAAATAGGTAGCATCATCAGTACATGCCTTCACTAGATTCTCTACCCCTGAAGTTCACTGCTGAATTATAATAATAATTTAAAAAGAGTTTTGTTATTATATCACTTGTGTTTTAGGAGCACAACAGAGAATCTCTGGATGCTTGGAGGATCGTTAGAGTCAGCGAAGATTTCAGGGTGATTGCTCTGGGGCTCCCTGTACCCCGATATTTGGGCAACCCATTAGACCCGCCGCTGCGATCTCGGTTTCAGGCCCGAGACGTTTATTATTTACCCTTCAAGGTAAGGAAACGTTGCAAGGTTTAAAGTGTTGGCCGAGGCGCACGTATTTCTTAGCAGCCAATCCATTAATTAAAAACAAAAACTGTGCTGAAGATTAAAAGGGATTTGATTTTCTAAAACTCAGCACTTTGGCCTAAAAGACTGCATAGCAAGCATTTTGAGTCAGCACTAAACCCAACCCGTTAAAACCTAAGATTATTATATCCTGGAACAGAATCGGCCACAATTCTGCCCAAAAAGATTTTATACAATCATCTGTGTTGCGTTTCCTTTCAGGACCACCTATCACAACTGTACTTTATTGGAAATAATGTTTCAACGGAAAGGTAAACAGGCGCATCGGATTTCTGCACGAATGTTCTTAAAATTGACTTTTAAATTTGCCTTTTCCGCCTCTCTGTCTGTAGCCCTGAAGCACCTCTTAAAAATTGTGTAGTGGAATTTAAATATTTGTAATAGGATGACAAGAACTCTCTGTAATAAAACTGAAACCTGAAATCTTTAATCGGCCTCAGCTTGAAATTCTGATGGTGTGAGACTGTGTTGTGTTTGCGAGTAGCAACGTTCTGATTTAAATCACTAAATGGTTTGACAGTGTTGTGGGAATTAGTTGTTTAGCAGAGTTATGGAATTGGGTGGGGGGGGCATCTTTATGTCTAGTTTAGAGTGCTGGTGATGGATTGGAAGGCAAGGGTGGGTGGGAATGGCCTCGTAGCATTGTTGGTTCCCGGGAGACATTGCTCCCCTCCTCAAGGACACCCAGAGCAGGTGCCACAGCGTGGCCGGCTGGTTCCCAAAACAAAATGAACAGAGGCAATTGGTGGGCGTGATGTGACTGTGGGTGGGAAAGAGAAAATGAACCACGCCTGCTTTCGCACGGGAAGCTCAGAGTTGGTTCTGCTTCTTCTGTGCCAACCTGGATTTTTTTCCCGGTAAAGTTTTATACTCTTGGAAAAATAACGTCCCAGGAGTTTCTTTTCCTGGATTCGTCAACCGAACAGTTGACACTTACCTGTCCCAAGTTTTGTCTGATTTAAAATGGCTGTTTGAAACGATTGCAAGCGTGCAAGTTAAATTGATCCAAGGGAATGACGGGTCGTTTTATTTCTAGAATCTCACAGCTCTTGTCCTTTGCCATGACTCTCTGCACCCAAGAATCGTCTTCGCTGGGCCTTCCCGATTTCCCGCTAGACAGCCTGTCCTCTGCTGTGCAGGTCCTGGTAGGTAAATGCGCATAAGATAGTCCTCAACTTAACAAAATTTCATTTAGTGACCGTTCGAAGTTTGTTGTAGGTTTTTTTGCAACAAACCACTTCATAATCTCCCCAGTCAGTACAGTATTTTGGGTTCGACATATTCTTTTTTTTTCTTAATGGAACTTATCTAAACATTTGTCCCAAAGGTGCTTTTTTCAAGAAGCAACTGGACTTCCTTGTTTTTCACCTTTCACTTCTCACCCAAGAAGCTTCTTCAGCTCTAATAGGTTTGGTGAACGCTTCCAATTCCTGTGTTTTGGTCTTGACCCAAGTATCGTCCACATTCAGAGCTGAAGAAGCTTCTTGGATGAGAAGCAAAACATCTTCAAAGAAAAAACAGTAAGCCCACTTGCCTCTTGGGAAAAAAAGCACCTTTGGGACAAATTGGCTAAAGGTTCGTACAGACCTTTGATTTCCCAGGCCGTTTACGGCGGTGGGTGGATGCATTAAAGTTAAATCTTCATTCGAGGTTTGGATTGTTTTCTTAGATTTACAACCTTGGCATAATTCTACAAACTCCGATTGCTGCCTTTTAAGATTGAGATACACAGTTATACCAACTGGGTGTGATGTAGCTCTGAAAAATACTACCCAAAAGGAAGACGAGGGGAAGGAGAAGAGACA